CTTCGACTTTGTAACGCGAATTTTCATTGGGTAATCAGCATTTCCTTCGAGGAGCAGGCTAATACCTACATTCTTAGCCTCCGAACGATATATGTGTCAGACTTTCCCAATCTCGCAATTTCTCGCTCGTGATATTGCGAGGCATCTCCGATGACTACCGTCCGTGGATGATCATCGAATGGGCGTCATGAATCAGATCCGATTAAGAAAAGGCGTCACACCGTCGGGAAATGAGACGCGCGGGGAAGGTCATATGCGCGAGCTCCGTGCGCCTATAGATATTTCTCACATCGACATCGACGTGGCGCTCTGAATTCCTTGATTGCCGTTCCGTGTCGCATGCACGAGGAATGGTGAAAATGAAAGAAAGAAGGCGCGCCGGTGCGCATTACGACGAGGCATGAAAACGGAAAGCGCGGAGGTATCTAATACCTCCCTCGAAGTGGGTCAGGTATTAACATACACAACATCCAATACGGATTAATAGCTCATCTGTTGAACCATTTCGCAAATGTATGCACCGCACAAATTTAATTAATATTCGTCTTTCCTTTTTATTTAATAATTTTCTTTCAAAAGATTTATTTTTGTATTTTAATTTACATAAATTGAAAATATAATTATATTTTTAGATACAATATTTATCCTCCAAAATTTTTCTTTTAACGCTATATTGGATCGTTTTATTTTATCTTATCGCGATTCAGTCAAGCCTACTTTATTTATTAAAGCTATTTATTTATCGTCGTTTTACGTGCAAACAAGATTTTTATCACGTTCCTCCCTTACAATGCGCAATTCCCGCAATTTATATTCCAGATCTACGTACGTATTTGGCATTTCAAGGTGCGTGAGGACTACTCCGTGCTGCAACCGTGACAAGGCAGCAGCGTTGCGATTGCGGTACAAAATATCACCGCTATCGACACTGCTCTTCGCGAAGCGAAGAGACGGTAGAAAATCTCTCAGTCGTGTTTAGAAATTTTTATGCGGTACGTTCCATCCATGATGTAAGAATACAAGGTGTTTCGCTCCGAGATGTGCAATCGATAACCAATCAGAAAATAAGCCCCAAATGTTATAAGCTAATATAGAGCCGTTATTAGAAATTTATCACATTAAAAAAAATTTACAGTAAATAAATATTCAGTCAATAAAAAAAATTATAGTTAAATTAATGGTTTTTGTATCAAATAAATATATGTTTGTATTTAGTAAATATGTTTGTATTTAGTAAATATTTATTTAGAACTATTTAAACAAATATTTATTAAAATTTAGTATTTTTTGCAGTGCACCAAAAAATTTGTCCCAAAATTATATTCGACCGTCATTATGTACAATAAAACACTTTGTTTTCTTACATCATGATTCGAACCATCCAGCTCGAATCAATACGCGAATATTTCTCTCATCGTGTCCATCGCGTATCTACCTGCTATATCACGGGCTAACCCATTAGGATAATCTAAATGTAGAAGGTCGTTCATTGGCATCGGCCCTTAACACCGTTGAATTCCTACGACTTTTGGCGCCACTCGAAATGCGCTCGAGATGAACAAAGATGAAGGAAAAGGAGAGCAGGAGGGACAAGAAGAAATGCAGGGAGAGTGAAAAGGAACTTCGCCCGACGACACTCCATCCGCGTGACGCAGGGACTATTTTGGGATCGCGAATTCGAATAACAGATTAGGAGGACCACCGGTCGTTTCACTTTCTACTGTCGGAAATTTTCGAGTGCGTGAACCTTTCGAACGGGCAAGTTTCTTCGACCTTTTCGAGGAAGTCTTCGCGCACCGCGCGAAATTTCATTGAAGTCATGTGCGAGGAACTTTCACGGATTGATGCCTCGTCGTAGTTACCGATTGTCGCTGGTTCTATAAAAAATAGCGATTCTTGACTTCGAGATAATTATTTAATGATACAATTTTTTCTGCTCTTTTTAGCATAAAAAATATATCAGACATTATTGTCGGTGTTCGATCGGGTAGATTAAAAAGATGCATCTTCGTTGCTTTTTATTGTTGTATTAAATTATATTAACAATTTTTACAGATTATTCATGTCTCGAGCAAGATCGTCAGTGGATTATGTACGTCTCGATGCTTCTCAATAAAATATTTTTTTCTTCGTTAAATTTTAAAAATAATCTGCAGACGTCTAACATTGAAAGATGAGAAGTTACGACAGATCTAACGACAGATATCTAACGACAGATAGCTTCTGCGAAATAATAATCAATTTCAGATTCAGCCAATTGCCGAGAGACAATGCAATGCTCTGAGATAATCCGCATAACTGCGGAAATCTGCAAATTGTGCAAATTTACGAGACCTTAATGTCTATAACAGCGTCTAACAGCGTACGTTCACATTCGCCTCAGAATGCGAGTAATGACGCGCGTTTCTCGCACGTCCGTGCGTAACACGGCGCGATTGTTCGACAATCATTTGCCAATCCGTCGTGTTCGCGTGCGTCCGACGATAAGCGTAACAATGGCGAACAAAGACAAGGTTGCGAAGAATAGCTGCGCCCGCTTGGTATTACAAATCGCGAGGAGGGAATCTGTTCGACAAGGGCGAAGTGCAATAGTCCGTCGTCCATTAGACTCGACAATAAGGCCCTGAGTCCGAGGAGACCCGCTATCGCCACTTCGCAACCGTATCGCAATTCTATTGTATCGTGAATCGCGCTACCACTACCTCGGAATTACGTAGCGCGGGCAAACATCGCGGTCGGCTCGTGACCGCCGACCATTATCCGCGCGCGAACGACGTTCCGTTTTGCGGTTGTGGAAAAGGGATATTTTCGAATATCGAATGTCTACAGCCGCTCAGATACCGACGACCGTCGCAGATCAAAGGAACATTAATTTGATCACTTGGATTATATTGGATCACACACATTAAAAGTTGCTTTACATAAAGTATCTAAATGCAATGGCATAATATAATAAACTTTGGCAATGAAGTAATACATACTCTATTAAATAATGTGATAATGTCATTTTTGGACATTCAATCTTTTAAAATACTCAATATACTTTTTAACTTTGCTAATTTTATGTATGGTAGCTTTTAGTATACACTAATCTAATGTAATGCCGCAAGTCCATTTCTCCTGGCATCGGGCATTTCGCAAGAGATGCGGGGGTCTGAATAGATTCTGTCGCGTCATTTCCTAACGATAATTTCTTCGACTAACGTAAAATCTATTTTTCTTCAATGGTTTAATAATTTTCATTGGAGATGAAAAAATCGTAAATTTTAGGATCGGAGCTATATTTATAAATAACGATAGTTATAAACTAGTTTTGATTAATTGAAAGAGCGAACTTTAATAGAATTTTGACATGAGAAAATTTGCAGTGGACGATAACTCTCCTTGAATATATATCCACGCCGAAGAAGGATCGGCGTCAAACTATCCTAACCATCTGTCATTCAAGTATAATGAGGTAAAAGTAGGACATGCCGCATAAATATGAACAATACGTAGCATCAGCTGTAAGGCGGATTTTGAGATAATCCTGATATAAGTTCGGTTTGAATCAACAGACGTACGAATTTATAAAGTATACAAAAAAAAAGGTTTTGTTGAAATATCTAAAAATTTAGCTAAATACAGATATAAAAATAATTTTGTTGGATCATCAAAATAATTATATAGCATTCTATACAAAGCTTAAATGTTGATAGCAATCAGTTACAAAAAGTTCTAACGTGCTAGCGATTAGTTCAAGTGCACTCAGAGAAAAAAGTCGTATCAGTAACTATAAATTTGTAGTAAAATAGCGTCTCAACTATATACATATTATTAAATTCTAATAAGAATACTAGATTAAGTGAAAATATAGTACATTAACCATATAAACAATTTATAAATGTTACTTTATATATAACCTTTATATATAAAGGTTAATATTACTATATTTTCTTAGTTCACTTAATTTACTTATTGTTCTTATTAAAGCTTTATAATACATAGTTACAAATTTGTGTATGCATTTCTTATTTATTTTTGTCTTCCAAGTTTGAAACCAACGCTGCGCGTTTTATCGTAAGCGAGTGGTTTCCTTCTTAGGAGAAACTGAACTCCGCTACGTCCCTCTGGTGACAAAGCCGCGTACTACTCGTACTGAGCGACACTTTAAAAATTTTTGTCTAAACTAGAAAAATGTAATTGTTATATCTATTTGTATGAAGTTCAAGTAACTACTCAATGTAGTTGAGTCACTACTTCACTACCAATTAATAGTGCATACAATTTGTTACCGGGACTATATTTTTATAATATTCAGCACTACTTTAGTTTCTATTACTTTGTAAAACCAGTTACAAGTACTTCAATTGTAAAAGTTGCCAAATTTATAGTTGCTGGAACTATTTTGTTTTCTCTCAGTGTGTGTGTCTTACATTTGTTTTGATGATACAAACAAAATTATTTTCATATCTGTATCTAGTTAAATTTTTACATATTTGAGCAAAACTTCTATGAATAATGAACGAAAGAATTCAAGGAGCCATGCACGCAAAATCATAAAGTAGAGATTGAAAAATATATTAATGTTTGGTACACGCCTTGGTTCCCGGTTAATCTCGATTGTGGCAAGAAAAATTCATGCGTGTCAATCTTTCCTAACAATTATAGATTACCCGAATCACGCACGCATTCGTAGGAAAACTCCTAATCCATTGATCAATGCGCAGTGCATTCCAGCGAGGAGAACCGTAGCGAACATTCAGATCTTGCGTGCAAAGGTCCGAAACCGCCGGCCAGCCGCCGTGGTCCCGTCGTCGTTGGTGCCCGTCACTCGTGCCCTCCCCAGATAAATATCCTTCACGTTCACCAAGAAGCGTATCCATGAAAGGTTTGCAAGCGTGTTGTAATCCCACAGCGCACTCTGACAAACGGAACGCGAAGCGAACGCGGGTGCTTTAAAGTCGTGCTTGGCACTGCCAGAAGTTCCCCAGTGAAGAGATCCTCCCTCGTGAACTTACCCTCTTGGTGACCGGAGGCGACGAGCGCGCAGACTAGCAGCAGGCGCAGGAAGAGGACCTGGCTACGCGAGGCCGCTCCTCGTCGGCACCTCGGCATGTCTCTCCCTCGGCCTCTTCGCGATGCTCGTGGACCCCGTCCTCGATGAGTGTTTGCACACGGCGGATGCCCAACGGGTCACTCGCAGCTCATCGCGTGATCGAGGGCCACCCGACCGGTCCCCATTCGACGCGGGTGTCGCGTCAGCGGATCCGCGCTCCAGCAGACGTGAGAACTGTCAGTGCCGTTAGCCGCACGCGGAAAGGATCATTGCTGTCAAGCCAAAGAACGGCGCGTTCGTACGCGAGCGCGACGCGCTTGTCACTGGCCAGGCGAACGCGGGTAGAGCGGGTAGAAAGCAAAATCCGACTTTCACTTAGTCGAGGCGCGAGCGAGCTCGAGGCGGAGCTGGCACGTCGAGGCCGCCAGGATCCACCGTCCCTTCCAACGGCTGTGGATCCCTCCTCCGCCTTCGCCACTGCCTCTTCGGCAAAAATTGACGGATCTTGCCTACTGATGCATTTTGGCGCTCGCGAAAATAATCGGGGACAGAATCGACGGCACAACAGATAAGCAAAAGGAGATGACTATTCCTCGATGACAATGGCTGCGGTTCATCTGCTGATGACGTTAGCGCCTCGCGGGAATTCTGTATCGAACGCCTTTCGATTTGCATGACTTTTAGAGATGCTACGTGCCGAGGCTAGAATTAACTCGAGTCGACAACTGCAATAAAATATAATGATAAAATGGAAAACACAGAAGAATTGAAAAATATGTAAAACTGTAATTGTCAAAATATTGTTCTGTATATTTTAATATACAGAATTTGGTGTCATAAACATATATTTAAATCGATTTCTAATTTTAATTTTATTACGTGATCCAATTATATGGATCACTTCTAAGTTATTTTTTTGTTCCGATACATATCACAAAGATTTTTTTTATCTTGGTACATATAAAGAAACTTTTTATTTTTCTCATCTCTCTACTTTCCAATTCACTGAAACACAATTAAATTGTCATAATGACATAAATTAAATGAAAAGTAGATGTGAAAAGTCGACTGGATGGTAAGCACCTATCATTTCTCACAATAATGATTCATGAAGCATCTTAAGAATACCACAAAAAGATGTTTCATTATTTAAATGCAAGCTCTTTACTTCTTAGAAGAAAGAAAGTATTTTAATATAGAATAGATTTAATCTCCATTTCACAAATTAATTCTTAAATAAATTTTCTATTTCACAAATTAATTTTATAATCAATAATTTAGTGTTCGCTTTATACCGAGGTAGATTTTACTATCTATATTTTCGATTGTTTAAATCTCGTAAAAATGCGAGTCGGCACTTAATTACTACAGTACACGCTCGTGCATACGGATATCGACAGGTGCTATGAATAAGATCACCTTGTTAGCACCAACCGTTCACCTTGATTTTTCAATTGTAGAAGCAAGTCTCCCAAATGGTCCTCTGCAGGATCGACGATCGCCACAAAGGCAGACACGCTGAGAGATCGTGGTTTTCTTAGTTGAACAAACAGCTGAGCGAACTCTCAAATTCCATAGCGAAGATAATTCATGCTTTCTTGCAAGTTATCAGTCCTGCACTGAGAGAAAACGAAATAGTTCTAGCAACTATAAATTTGGCAATTTTGTAATTGAAGTACCTGTAACTAGTTTTACAAAGTAATAGAAACTAAAGTAGTGCTGAATGTTATAAAAATATAGTCCCGATAACAAATTGTATGCACTATTAATTGGTAGTGAAATAGTGACTCAACTACATTGAGTAGTTACTTGGACTTCATGCAAATAGATATAACAATTACATTTTTCTAGTTTAGACAAAAATTTTTTTTTAATTAAACACTTTATATCATGTAATTAATTAATCATTGTTGAGGTAACTTCAAGGAATAATATATTATAATTAAAACCCTTTTCTCTAAAGTGTCGCTCAGTACGAGTAGTACGCGGCTTTGTCACCAGAGGAACGTAGCGGAGTTCAGTTTCTCCTAAGTGTTAATGTACTATATTTTCTTAGTTCACTTAATCTAGTATTCTTATTAGAATTTAATAATATGTATATAGTTGAGGCACTATTTCACTACAAATTTATAGTTACTGATACGACTTTTTTCTCTGAGTGTGAAAATGTTACATTACATAATTTTTTTCGTGACGGGTCGTTTTTACTCCACAAATCTCGCTTCTGTAACAAAGACATTTTTAAAGAGAAAAAGATTCCAACATGCAAAAGAAGCTATAAAAACACTGTATAACACAGATTGCACTCCACAGGCCCCGATCGTACTAATAATAGGAAACGCTGCTGTAATAATCTATCTAATCGATCGCGTTACTCGAACGATGAGAAATACGACTCGACCGAGTCAGAGAATCGGATTTCAGGGTCTCCCACGGCACTTCCTCGACCTCCGAGCAGGCCTTTGCAAAAATCTGTTCTCTCAAGTCCATCCTGTTACCCCACCCGTTCGTTAACCCTCACCGGTTGCGCCTGACCTTTATCGGGTCCGCCTGGAACTTCGAATGTATAAATTGATTCACATCCGGACAGACACGAAAGAAAAAGGCACAGCAAGGTCGGGAGAACCGGGAGAAAGTCGGTGGCATCGCGTGACGTAATTCGATCGATGATGATCGCTCCGGTATCTTCCCGATGACAGTGTACGCGCTCGATGTGATTAAATCTGAAATACGTTTCCACTGTTGTTGTGGAAGATCATTTGCGCAAGATTTTGTTTTCCTGATATAATTAGGAACTTTCTCTTAAATAATTCCTCCAATTATATTATATTATATAATTCTCCTAATCCCCTAATTATGTTATCAAGCCGTGAGATTCGCCTCTAATCGCGGTTCGGTGAGAATTATATACTCTCATAAATATTGAAAAATAATGAAAATATTTTTTTATAAAAAGAATTAAAAAGATTTCAGATGCTAACGCTCGACAAATATGTACGATGTTTACACAAATGCATAATAAAAATGAGCATTTCTTAAAAATAAAAGAAACAGTTATCTTCAAAAAATTCAAATATCTCTTTTCTCTCTCTCGCGGTATCCTGAATATTTTATGTGTAAAAGATTGCTTTCCACAAGTGCCGTGGCATCTTTGCCGAGCACGTAGGCTGGATGTTAAAATTTCGTAAGGATTCCGTGAGAATCCCAAAGTGAGATTCTGCTCTCAATTGTTTCGTGCGCGAGTTCCTAATGACGTAACACTCGGCTAGGACTTCACCGGTTTAGTTTACCAATTTATATTCTTACTGCGATAGCAGGAAGTGCAACGCGCCGTTGTGTATCGTAACGGTATCGCGCGAGGGACAATGTAATATGGATATTTGCTGGTGTTTATTAAGCAATGATACCTGCCAATAGCTGTTCTAATAAACATAAAACATTACCGTAAGAAAATTCATACGGCTATAAAATTGTATGTAGAAATTAGAAGAAAGCATGTATATGTAATGCGCGATCAAATTTGACTTATACATGATTGAAATGACGTATAAAAAAGGTATAGATGAATTACGTAAGAAATTACGGAAGTTATAGTTATCTTGAAATTAAATACGTCAATTTTGAAGGAGTTTCTTGTTTCTAATATAAAAAAGATATTTGTTTAGTAACAACATTCAACTTGCTGTTATTTTTCTTAACAGAAGTTACTTGGAATTTTTTATTAAGATTCTACATTCGGAATGTGTATACATTGTTACACGTTATTGAAAAATTAAGAGATATATAATTTTTTGTTAATAATTACTGTTCTTACTTTCAATTAGCGATTTATTCTTTACAATTATTTGCTATCGTTCAATGATGCTTCGAAATATCAATGAGTGTAATATCTGTCGTGAAATCATCTCATATTCAGCATTGAACTCTCCGATATTAAAAAATCTCTAATATTCAAGCATTAAAATCACCGAGATTTCCATCTTGATTATCAGGCACACATTTCAAGCAACGAGCCAAAGTTACGTTAACATCGCCATCTAAGATATATTACAGGAACTAACGGCGAAATTTACTATCTCATGATCAAGTTAATTCCTACAAAAGTAATATAATAAAATATTTCGTAAAAAGTTTTATTATTACAATAAAAACTTTTGGTATAAATTAGAGAAACATCTTTATTATTGATTGATTACGCTAACGAAAAAAATTCGTTTCTCCGGTTAGGAGAATTTTTTACAAACTTGATTGGTTTCGCTGGAATTGTTTTTTATCTTTTTGTTTATCTTTATATAAAAGAACAATGCGCTTGGCCGATGTAACATCCTAAATAAGACATTAAATTAGATTATAATTTGTAAGTTCAAGGATAATGTCGAGAGCGGGATTACTGAAATATACAAACTGAAATATATAAACATAAAAGCATATAGAATACATTATTGCATTGTAAATTAATTATGTTACACAGGTTTACCGACATTCTGTGAAGGATTTCATTTAATATTAATCAACAATAATATATATGCTTGTGCTACATATCTCACAATGCAATACAATCTCTGTATAGAATTGGCATTCATTAAATTTTATTGAATTCTATACAAGCGATAAATTCGTGTGTAAAGTAATTCAATTTAACTACATCTATAAATTCATTCATTTTTATTACTGTTATGTGTCATCATATGTGTACCGCATTTCGATGTAGATCATTCTTCAACTGAAACAGAAATAGATGTTTAATGAAACAGAATGATGTTTCAAGTTTTGTTTAAGAGAATAAAATATAAAATTTTGTTATCTTTGTTCTGCGTTTTAAATTTACTTTGTAGTTGATCTTCTCGATGGTTCCGAAGCAGTAGGAGGTGGCGGAGGACCTCTACGTGCTAATTCTTCCAGATAGCCCATTAATAATCGTGTCCGTTCAGCGGCTGTAGCCTCGAGCACGAGAAATCGACGATCTTTTCGAAGAATTTCTTCGATCTCTGCTAGATGTGAGCTATTCTCTTGAACTTTTTTGTACGTTTTGTCAGTGATCAGTTTTGTTTCCTGAAAATCGCAATTTTTTTACTAACAGTCTCACAATGGGATTTTAAAAGATACATTGCGAGTTAATTAAACGCACCTGTAGGAGTTCCCTGAAATCGGCTTTGGCAGCGACAAGTTTGTCCTTAATATATTCCTTAAATTCTTTCTCGCATTTCTAAAACAATAAAAAAATATATACAGAATAAGTAAATTCTAAATTTTTTTACTCTTACATTTAAGTTTAAATTAATGATTACGTACTCGATCACTAGAAGAAAATTTCAAGTATCTAGGATCATCTTTCAACGATTTCTTGATATCTTTCCAAGATGCCGTTAATTCAGTCGACGCGCCTACTTCGTCGAGTAATTCCCGAAATTTATCGCGCTTCTTACGGCCCAATTGTTCAATGTGTTCGTTAAATAAACGTTCTTTCTCCTCGCGATCTAAACTTTCCGCCAACTCCCACCTATGGTCCTTCCTCAATTGTCGTTTCGCTTCTCTCCAAGCCAGATCGCCATTTCTTACCTGAAATTGAGACAAATTCAAGATATTGTAATCAAAAATATCAATAATTCCCGTAGAATATTTTGTGACTGAAGCTATATACATACCAAATCAGCAAGGAGAGCGCTGAAATGTTGAACCGCCTCTGTGTGGCGATGATGTTGCCTTTCCTTATCCCTATCGCGAAGATGTGTAGCTAAAGTCCTTTGCACTTCTCTTTCTCTCTCTCTAAGACTAGCTTCTGCTCGTCTTTCACGTTCCCTTTTCTGTTTCTCACGGTCCTCCTCCGAATCGGAATGGTCATCTCCCTCTTCCTTCTAAAAGACAAAACAAGCAAAAATAAAGCAAAAAATATACAAAAAATACAAAAACCGATAGACATAAATCGTTTATTTATACTTACGTCATTTTCTTTTTTAATGCTTTTGTCGTCGCTTTCTTCAATTTCTCCGCTCTCTTTTTCTACCACTGCCTCTTTTTTCTCCTTTTCATTTTCCTCCAGGGGAGCATCGTTTTTTCGTTGCTTTTTTTCCCTTGTATTATCTTTATCGGCTTTGTCCTTGCTGGACTTTGTTTCTTTACCTTTATCCGAATCCTTACGATCTCTGTCCTTCTTGTCCGTCTTGTGATCTTTCTCTCTGTGCCGATGGTCTTTGTCTTTCTCCTTTTCCTTTTTCCGCTCATCCTTCAGCAGGCGAACGTAATCTCTAAACCAATCTTCCCGCGTGCTTGCCGATTCTACGACTCTGTATCTCCAATCCGTTTCCAATTTTTTCTTGCAATCGCTCCAATGCGAATGCCTGTCGATGTCTTTGTGCTCACGTAGCATCGTAAAGAATTCCTTTTTTACCTGAAACGCATTTAACATAAGAGTTTTCATCGCTGAAGAACAATTACCGTTTGCTTACTATTAAACAATTCTTTTGCTTTTAAGATCAAATCTTTCTTGGTTCTCTTATATCATGCACGCTTTAATGATATTTTCAACCAATTATTACACGCTCAACCACATTACAATCACTTTTATAAATATTATGATATAATGATTTGTAATGTGGATCAAACTATTTCAACTTGCAAACCTTTTAAATGGTTTTCAAACTATATTTCGTTAGGGGTAGAAGAAATAGTCATTCGTGTTCGTTCATATCAGGAGGTATCACAACGTTAAGGACTCTATTTGTCGAATTTTTTTTATGAACTAAGCTGGTCATTTTTTAGCTGAAAAAAATTAACTCATTATTCCTGTAAAAATGATTATTATGATTATCGTCATCATTAAATGTACAGTATTTTCTATTCGATTACATTATAAATAATACATAATTAAGTCAAACTTCAATTTTTAAGAATTATATACATCTGTCTCATACAGACAATATACTGCCATTTAATGATGACTGAATATGTAAGGTAAGTAAATGTTTAACTGCCGTCCTTGCTGAAACGAAAAAATATGGTTAGTACATTATCATTAACTTCGAAAACATTAGAAGCTCGCAGCCGTCCAAATTACGAAACGAGTTTCTATCTAATTTCTCTTTTTCTCTTACTCGCTATACTCTAAAATACCTTTCGAAGAACCCACAATTTTAGCAACAGCGTCACATATTTCATAGCACACCGTTTACAAAAATTGTAACATATAATTATTCTCTTGATAATTTTCTTGATGAATTTTTTCGTAAAAATAACATAACAGATAGATTATTTAAAATAATATTTACTAAAATGTTATTAAAATAAAGTACATCTCTCTTTCTCCTAAGCCTCGATACTTTTAGTTCGTAATACTGAAAGCATTAAACGAACAAAATTAGATACGATAGACAAATATCTTTGAATTGTCTGATCTACACAAAGTGTGTAAAATTAAGAATCATCCCATAAAATAGTTTTTTTTAATGTTCCCATTGCGTAATTTGTAAACGACCGAAATGATTTGTATGATATTCTTTGATGTATTAAAAAGAATATTTAGCTAATATTATTTATAAATAATAATCGAGAGATGATTACAGCTCTCAGACACTGGCACATTTTTGTCTTCAAATTGTATAACATTCATTACTCGGATCCTATAAAGATTTTTAAGGTACTAAGAGAAGTTTGAGTTTACATAATTGAAATTTACTTCTTTATCTCTAACTGAAATTAATATAAAACTCCACTCGCATTATTATTATTAGAACAAAAATAGTTGAAGTTTTCAGACGAGTATAAAATAAATTGTTAATCATTCATTCTATGTAAAGTTTAATAATTTCACATTATAAATCTGTACTATAATTTCTTTTTGTATTCTCTAAAATGCATCACACGATAAGTTAATTTTACATACATATATTATTGCCGACAACAAGAACCGTTTATATCTTAAAGTCGACTTAAAATTACTTGAGAGTACTATATATTTTTGTACATCAAATTTGATGTATCATGTATTGACATAAGAACAATAGAAAAAATATGATTTTAAGATAATAATTCGTTGCTTTTTATGAATATAAAATACTTTACCTAATGACCTACATACATAAAATAAGTTTTTAACAATTTTAATATGCAGAAGTAATGTTCGAGCAATTATTATTCAAAAATAAAATAAAAAATCAAACAAATAGTTCCTTATGTCGTTGATGGATTTGTTTTTATGTCCATACATTTAAATGTAAATTCTGTGGTAGCATTAGAGAGAATTGAATCTTTATATTTCTTAAATCGGAATATATAATCTCTCTGAGAAACTGTTTTGCGGACTAATGCTACCTCGGGCTTTTGTATACCCTTTTTTCCTTCCAAATGAATTAATGTGAAATCTTTATTTTTTTTTCAAATTTGACTCTGGGAAAAAGTTAATCTTTTGAAGTAACGAGGATTACGAGTAATATACAAATACCGAGTTTGCTCATTCTCATGACACTCTGCTTTGAAGTAAAGAATGCGGCGCGCGAGGGTGTGCCAGAGTGACCCGCAGAGAAGGTGGGAATGGTAGATGACATCATCCATGCCACCAACCAGCTTCAGTACCACGCCACTCCACATACGGAACCTGTCCTGCCTGCATCCTGACTGAAGTGGAGAGTTCAGAACACATAAGTATATAAGGAAGCGTCACATACTAAGATTTTATTCTCTACATCTCCCATCTTAGAGCTACAAAAACTTTTCGATTTCGATCGAGCAAATCTACTGGAGTAGAGAATTATTATTAGAGAAATATCTCCTGGTATATGTGTTCTTCAGCCGTTATAATTTTAGGAATTCATACTATCTTACAAGTGGAACAAAATAATAACATACCTATGAAACCTGAAAGAAATTAATTAATTATCGCTGTAAAAACATAAATTTCATTAAACATTACTAAACATATCCTCTCCTATATAGAATTAAAACGCTTTGCATATCTATTCTTAATTTGAGTCTTATGCTATCGCGCATTGCAAAGCCTCGCTTAATAAGGTGAAGTAATTCTTCAATTGAAAAATTAATGAAATAATATAATTACATAAACATAGGAGCAAGTGCCGAATAATAAACATATATTCAGCTCATGCGCAACTTATCGCGGATGTAGTGTGTATTATATTTACATGCTGCTTTAAATATTCTTCGAGCAGCATTTATGAAGCAATTCACTATAAATGAACGGCAACTGTCTGGAATGGAAGGAGAAAGGATTATTTGATAGGGATAAATGTAGGAAATGTGATGGTTATGATGTTCTTCTTATAATATAAAGGACTTTTAGGTACACTTATAGATAAAAGAAAAATAAGTTTACATAAATATATATTAAGTATTTGATAAAATAACTTTAAGTATACGATCAAGTAAAAGAAATATTTTTACGATATTCTTCATATCATAAATGATATGAAAATCAATATATGTGTATAATATTACTTACAATATAAATTCCAAACTTTCATAAGCATATAAAAATGAAATTTTATAATAAAAAAACTGGACAAATTAAAAATCTAATATTTGTATTAATGAGTGTTAGAATCGAAATAATTTATTATTTCAGAAAATATCTCAAATTATTTATAACCAACATTGAAAGATATTAGTGTACCTAAATCTTCCATATTTATTAAACATACGTGCGTCTTATGAAATCTTGGATGGGGAAAATGTTGCTAGAATGTATGTCTTACTTGTATTGACGTTAAAAATATTTATAATTATTTGTATTAAAATACATGGTCCTGAAAAAATATCTGTTGCATTGCCACACAATGCGCGCGCACGTTGAATAATGTTAATAAAATAAAAATACCTGTTCTCGTTTCGCCGTTTTTTCCTCTTTCTCCTTTTTTCGCACTTCCAGAAGATATTCGTTGAAAAGGCTTTCTCGTTCGCGCATCTTTTCTACATTCTTAAATCGTTCATCCCTTCCATGTTTTTGAGCAAAATCGCTAAATGATGATCTACAAAAATATAGCACAGAAAAAATAAATATAGAAATTGACATTTTCTGTAGAAACAAAAAAAAAATGCTTTCTTTGTACACGTACTTTCCATGAAGTCCTGCCTCTTCTAAAAGCTTCTGGAATTGTTCTTTTCGTTCTTTCATCTTATTCCTCTTTTCTCGCCTTTCTTCTTCCGCTCTCTCCTTTACATATTTCTCGAAGACCTGTTTCCTTTCCTTTGACGTTAGAAGTAAATAGCGTGGATCAAATACTATTTTATGAAGTTCTTTTTCCCAAGTACTGAATGCAGATACCTGAAAACATAATAATTCAGTTGCTTTCGATATAGATGTACGAAATTGATTGAAGTTTGAAGGTTTGTAAGTAAAAGAGTGAAATGGACTTTAATCCATTTTGGGAGCAATAAATTAAAAGTAACATTATAGTCTGTATAAATAAATGAGAACAGTATAATAATTTACATCTTTCTCTGCAAGCATATCTCTGAATGATTTGATCCTCGTTTCCAATGGAACTATTGCCCTCTCCCTCGCTGCTCTCACTTCCGCCTCTATCGCAGCTTCCTTACCGATGTCGATGGTCTTTTTTCCTTCTTTCTCTTCCTCTTCCTTGACGGGTGTGGCTGAAAGAAAATACGAAATTTATATTAAAAAAAAAATAAATGCAATCATACAGTACTTAATTTTAGAGTAACAATTACTTTTAGTATCTTCGTGTTTTATCTTTTTGGCTGGTGTGGGCTGATCATCATCGCTGCTTTCGCTGGTATCCGACTGACGTGCTGGTTTCGTAGCACCAACCGCATCTGGTGGCGTTGAGATCATCTTGTCCACATCCTGGCGGCCAACGAGATCATCCGGCCTTTCCCAAACTGATATCCTCGAAGAAGGATTATAGAAAAATACTCGTCCGTCTCCCGTCCAAACGACGCACCTTTATACATACGAATATATTCATATAAATATACATACAATACGAATAACAATATAAAAAACAAATATTTTTAAATATACCATGGAGTTCCAGGCACTGGCGTACTAGAAATTGGTCTAGACTTGTCTTGAGGTTTTGCAGGTTCCTTTGTAGTATTTTCCTCTTTCTTCGGTTTAGCGCTATCAGCATCTTTTGTGCTATCTTTGGTTTCGTGAACGTTCTCTGGCGGCTTTTCTTGTTTGCTAGGTTCAACCGTAGTACTATTGTTGGTAACGACAGTAGTTGTAATAGCGGTACTGGTAGGAACAGCAGTTGCTTCTTCATTTTTCTGCCGTAATGTTAATTTCGCATCTAACAAAATGAAATTTTAGAATACATCATCGGATTTAAGATATATAATCTACGAAATTATATTAAAAAATTTTTAATATCTACGTTAGTTATGTTACTTTACAAAGATAATTGTTGTAAAGAAATCATTTATTACATACTTTCTAGATCTTTCAAGGCTTGTGGTTTTTCCCATACTGATTCTCCTGCTTTACTATTGTAGTAATAAAATCTGCCATCTGGTGCACGATGCTCGGTCCAGACCATAGCAGCTGCTACTAATTCAGAATCAAGTTGTGCTAGTATAGCAGGATCTTCAGCAGGTGTTTGAGGTGTCATTACACCATGAGGCATTTGTGGCATACCTAAAAAAGAATGTAGGTGGATTCTATTCAATCTATTTATAAACCATAAAAATATATTCTTTTTCCATCATTTATAAGATATCTTTTTCACATTTGCGTATTTTACATTACCCCAATTTGTTTGTGGTGGCCCATAACCGCCAAAAGGTTGGAAACCAGGTGGTGGCATCCCAAAGGGCGTCGCTCCGAATTGCGTTGCAATCGGATTACCAAACTGATTTGGCATTCTATGCTGCATAGGGATCATATTTGGCGGCGGTTGCATCATGTTCGTATTTACCGCCGGTGTATTTATTGGTGGCGTATTGGTAACTGTCGTGGGTGCTGTGCCTAACATTTCAAGATTTCATCTCTTAATGACAATATTTTAACATAAATTTAAAAAACTTGAGTGTTAAAATAAACACATAAAGCTCAAAAACGTTTTCAAAATATACCAAATTACCATTTGATTGATTTGTTTCAGATGTTTGATTACTGACATCTGGTGCATCATTCAATGTAGGTGGTGGTCCGGTGCCGGGAGGTGCTGTACTTAATTGATTAATAGCATCTGTATTATTAGAAGACGATTGTTCACCGCCTTGAGAGATTCTGTTTTCACTAATCTTGGTCGGTGTACTACTTGACGGAGTAGGTGTGGTAGAACGTGTTGCCGCTTGTTTTGACGCGCCATGTACTAACTGTTCCAACTGCAAAATCATGAGACACTTTGTTAAAAATTGTTCTGAATGAATCGTTTCAAATCTTATTTAAACGAACAAAATAAACTTTTAATTTTATACGACGAATAAGTAAACTTACCGATTTTTGTTATGTCATTGCTACATGTCAATTTTTTGAAATATAGTTCTTTTATTTATACTTCGTTCCCTTGCCTATATTTTACCCGCGTAAAAATATATATCAATAAATAAAATATATCAATAAAATTAATGGCAAAAAAAGGAAAAAATACAAAAGAGAATAAATATAATTTTGATATTGAAAAGATGTACGACTCAGATGTATGATCACAATCAAGGTAAATAAAAAAGTAAAATTATTTACAAATAAAAAATAGCATTAATTAAAAATATAAATCGGAACTCGCATTTATTTACCTGATCTTGTACCATGACCTTTACATTTGGTCCCTCTGGTTTAGTCCATGTGGTATCTCTCGTACGAATATTGTAATAATACGACTTGCCATCAGCCGCTTTCGTCTCTACCCATACTTCTCCGTTGAGATCTAGACCTGGAATGTTTGCTTGCTGTTGTGCTTGTTGGGGTGGCTGCTGTTGTCCTGGAATCTATGGCATACATTTCATTATTTCAGGAAGGTATTCTTAAGTGCTTTTTATTATTCATTTCTTCAAAAACAACAAGCATGTAAATGAAAGTATGCTGTCTACAAGTTACATCGAAAACAGATAAAGAATAATATTGGCAGTACAAGAGTAACTAGAGTAAATTTTTCATTATACATAACTTACGCTATTCATGTTAGGTGGCCCCATTCCAGGAGGTGGTCCATATGGACCTGGTCCTGCACCCATAGGACCATTCATCATATGTGGTGGTGGCTAAAGCAATAATTAGATTTTAGAATTTGAAATCAATATATATAAATTCATTATTATTAAGAGATTTAATAACATACCATTCCTGGAGGTCCCATCAAGTTAGGAGGTCCCATGAAATTAGGAGGTCCCATCGGTCCCCAGCTGGGATCAAACGGCGGTGGTCCTCGAAATCTTGGTCCTGCTGGACCAGGCGGACAATTTGGTCTTGGTGGAGCTTCGAAAGGAAAGCCATTGTTTGCTCCACGGAACATTGGCCCACGGGGTCCAAATCCTCTTCCTCTAAACCTTGGGGACCCACCTCTCATAGGGAAATCAAACCCACCTCTGCCACGACCCCTTAAATTATTTTTATATGTTGTGACTAGATATCTTAACGTTCTACCATGCCACTTAGAGGAAGGAAGACCAGAAGTATCTTTCCGAATCTTACTTGACTCTTAAGAAAAACAAAAAGAAACGCTCCGCTCCACACGCTGCGGATCTGATCTGCTCGCGTCAGGCACCACGCATACTCGCGCTGTAACGCTTCTATGAAGAAGTACTACAAAGTTGCTTGTAAAAAGATCACAGCATTAATTGATTAAATCCCGCGCGAAGACGCGAGGGGCCTTCGCGCGAGCCGGTGTCGGTCCAAAAATTAAAAAAATCCGACATTCCTCCTATATCATTTGTAAGGACTAGAGTGAAAACACGTGATGGAATAGGGACGTCAATTCTTGAATCAGACAGGGTTAAATGAAAACAAAACGGTAAGAGAGTATGCAAGGCTGAGGGAGAGTAAAAGAAAAGACGCGGACAACACCGTGAAAAGATCGCCGCTCGCGGAGCCAGAATAGCGACGCATCGCGATACGCACCGAAAGCCGCCTCGGCCGCGCGGCATGAAGTGCCTGTAATCATCGCCCTCATAGCTGTACTCCTCTGTCTCCTCCATTGCCTCGTCATTGTGCTCCTGCTCGTTGGCGGAGGCAGATTCGGTGGCCGCGATCGCGGCCGGCTGCTCGCTGTTCGCGTCCATCTCTTGACAGAATGATCTCGACAAAAGTGGAAAATGGAGAGATCAACAAACAAACTGGGCACGTCGCGACGGAGAAGACCTGTCTCACGTCTCACACGCCCATTCGCTATCGCTTCACTCGTTATCAATCTCTCTGGCTGATCTTCGTCTGTGTTCGTCTGGCGTAGGAAAAAAAACGCCGCGGACAAATTACTATTCTACGCGGATACGGGCCGTAAACACGTTGTTGCAAACCACCGCAAACACACGCGAATTCCCCTAAACGCGCCGGCGTGGCAAGCATCTACGGGGGTTCCTAAAACCCGTATCATCGGCTTTATCTATCGAGACTCTCCTCGCTCATTGGCCATTGGGGTTTGTCCCGTGGCGCAAGGAACAGGAGTGGAGGAAATGAGATGGCAGATTGGGTTTTTCAAACTCGGTCTAGTGTTTTTCGCTTCTTGAGAAATCAAGCCATGTTTGAGAGCGCAATTTGTATTTCGCAAACCACCACAAAGAGAACAAGAGAGTCAAAATAATGTTAATTTGATATTGACCGATTATTGACCGAATTTATGTCAGTTTTTTTGGTCGTAATTCAGTTAGTATAACATTATTTTGACTTTTCAATTGTTCTCGTTGAACATGAACGTTTCATGCCATTCATGATAATCATGATTAGTTGCTGATAGAGTTCTGAGTATTAATATCAAGATAATATCTAGATATCTAGATGTTATTATTAATTGTTACACAAGTAATTACAACAATAATTATTTGTTACTAAAGGCTTTGGCATTCAGGAAAAAAATGTGAGAAGAAAAAAGAAGGAAAAGCAGAATAAATTTCTATGAAAAAATAAGATTAGTGAGAAAAATGTAAATACAAAAATATATTGTATGAAATATTAATCATATTATAAAAAGTGCTATGCTATTTATACTTATTTATTGTATCATGATTTAAAAATAGTAACAATATTTTTTCTTTTTTAGGTATGAAGTATGTAATATGTAATGTGATTTGTCATCAGATTTCAATTATAATTAACAGTATTCTTAATTAATATTGCAAAGTTTTGTGATTGTATTTATGTAAAGTTACATGTAATCTAATATGAACACAATTAATCCGTACCGTCAAGAGGTTATACATTACCCAAACAGTACACAATATTTATAAAATATTTATAAATATTTATAAGATTTATTTTAATTATTTTGTAAATATATTTTTGTGCAGATCATAAACATTTATTATAAATATTATGAAATATTTATTATGAATATTATAGTGCTATGAAAATACTTAATGAGACATTGTAATTCAAGTAAAAAATACTTATTAGAAATATTTATTTATATTTATCATAAATATCTCATGAAATATTTAGTCTATATTTTAATAATATTTCGAATAAAGCTTTATATAAAATATGTATGACATATCTATATAACATTGAAAAAATGAATATTAATAAATATTTATCATAAATATTCTGTGCTATCTGGATGTGTGCAGGCTCCTATTCTATCTGTAATCCTTAACAACAGTGTCGTTACATTGAATTTGTTCACGTTGCTTGAAACCTCCAAAAATTTTTGCATGTAAAACTAGATATATAAGCATTGAAGAAAAAAAGATTCTGAAAAAGTCCAAGCAGCGCAAACAAACTATATTATCGTTGCACACGTTCTTGTATAGGTCCATTTTCGTTCCTCGATCACTAGAGTGTAAAATTTTCTTTGTCTTCAAAAATACCAAACATATATCTATTTCACTTTAAGTTCCAAAAGTATATCAGTTCAGCTACAAAACAACAGAACTTATATATCCTAACATTTGAAAAATCAGAATTTTGAATTCGGCAATGTCCGCACGAATCCATTTTCACCTATTTCAATTTCCAAGGGATTCATGTGTGCATTTCGAAATCAAAAATTCTGACTTTTCGGATAAGTTTTATAGTAAAAAAAACTGTTCAACGACAATATAACAACCCAAATAGCACAGCAGCGCCTAAAAAAGCGCTTGTATACGCTTTTTTTTTAGCGCTTTCTTATAATGCTTTGTAGGCGATCCTACTTGGCAATATCGATACTATCGTTAAAAATTACAAAATAGGAGCTTGTAGTGTTTATAGTACATTTATTATACTATAGTATAGTATACTACAGTTATTATAATACACTTTTCTCACTTTGCATTATGTAGAATTTCAACTGAACACAAAACATAATTCATTGTCGGTTGATGCAATGTCATATCATTTCGTTTTCAATATTCTTTTACTTGGACCTTTTCCCTCTAGAATATCCTCCATCATTTTCGCATACTTTTCATTATAAGCAGCACATTTTTGCAAATCATCATCGTTTGGAGGCATTGGCCATTCTGTGTTCGAGTATGATATTACTTCGAGACTTTCAAATGAACCATCCTCTTGTCGTACAGCTAATCCAATTATTGCAGGGTTCGTTATCATTGCCGCCGATGAAGTCAATCCACATTGAAACAACTGTGCAGTAGAATCAGATAATTCCTTATATTCGTCAAGATAACAATTGTTTAGAAACATGATAAATAGCCGTTGGTCCTGTGGCTGTACTTTGAATATAGCTGTAAAATATGTATATTCATTTCAATATTAACGTATTTATTAAAATAAAAATCGTGTAACTCATCGCGCTAATATATCGAGAAAATGTTTCTGTCATTACATCTCTGTCTATTAATTTTTGAGAGACATACGTCTTACCTTCGATCATTTTCTTGAGCTTAATAACTTGGGTACTCTCCAGCACGTCAAGATATAAGGTCACCTTTTTTCGTCTAATTACCAAATGTACATCTACATTTTTACTAGGTATATCACATATTTCTTCTTGTTTATTATCATCGCCTAAGACCTCCTATATAAGATATTCTTAGAGATTAACTGATTTAAAAATAAAATGTATTTATTAATCAAATAAAACAAAATGGATTAGAAACTTACCATTGAATCTAATTTGATATGCTTAATAAAGCCAAGATCAATCGTCAATATATTCTTCCTAAGACAATAATAGAGACCTACATAGAGAATTGCGTGTTTATCAACAAGTTAACAGTGTTGACAAATTCAGTATATCATTTGTGTGCTTTTGAGATAAACACATATATATATATATATACATATATACTCCTTAACATTAATAATATTATAATATCTTTAATAAAGATTTGAAATTCAAAATATATATATATTTTGTTAAATTTTTATATATTCAGCTATGAATGTAATATAATAAAAGTGAATTTAATATAAATATGAATTGAATTGTTACTTATTTTAATAAAACATCATCCTTTCTTATTCCTTTTCTTATTCTTCCGTTATATTTTGTGAATGCCTTTGCCTTTGAAATCGAACATTCATGTTTCGATTAAAAAAAAAAGCCTAAACACGCCATTTGAAAATCTCTAGTTCCAACCATGGAATATGTACGATGTTTTAAAGATATCGACATGGCTAAGAAATCTCTCGAGATAATGATTTTACGTAATTTTTATTTATGTAAAAGGAACAAATTTACATTCACATAAACATTAACTTAACAACGGTAATAACCATACGAATGTTTTATCTGCACGTGCTGCTGCATCGAAAAAACTTTCGTGTAGCTTTGGTCAAATATCATTAATTAACTTCACAATACTTTATAATCCTCCAGAACGCAGTTGCAAGAAAAGGAATCTCGCGAAAATATATGTAGAAGAAATATGCGGAACTCGTAAAAAAAAAATTGTTGGCAACTGAAATTGTTGGAGCTGTTAATAAGAGCAACACGACTACCAATTGACTATTCTGCATGAGGAAAGAAAGTCAAATCTGGAATAAAACCGAGATTCATTGGCTGTCGCGTCCATTCCACGTGCGCGATTTACAAAAACAAACCATGGTGGAACAAACTTCAGAGTAGTCAAAAATTCAATCTCAAATTTAAAATCATCAAAAAATCGTACAATCTCTCTCTCTCTCTATTAAAATATAATCTATTATTTACAATCTATTAAAATCGTACAGGCCGAAGACATACGTTATACAGACATTTCATTGGCTGGACGAAATCTTAAGGCCAGACTTGTATTTAAAATCGAACTGTGAAATATCGCCCTTATGTTTATATGTAGCGGATATAGCCTCTTTAATAAACACGCACACTTTACGAAGACAAAAAAGGCGGGAAAGACGCCCCACTTGGCGTGTGATCTCATTTGCTGTATATTTAGATAAATATCGTGTGTATTTCTAAGTGCTATCAAACGATACAAATCAATATTGAAAAATCAAGAAACAAAAGCTTTTAACATCTACAGAGAATAATGAAACAGTGAAAAAAAGATAAGGATAGAAAGGTTAGAATTGAATGTAGCTATGTAGGCGAAATAGTGGAGTAACGTGGGAAACAATTTATGTATAATACTCCGTTTCGCTTACATATCTTATATTCTATATAAATAGTATTGCAAACGATCTTCGTATACATTTTCATTTCATCGGATATCAATGTCGCGAATACGTTTTGAAGAGAAAACAACATAATACAGCTTTTCGAGAGGCATCCTGGGGATGTCTCTGTGTTGTGTAGGAATTGTTGAAGAGTAGTTAAATGCAATTAGAAGATCAAATATATCTTTTAGTTCTTATTGAATTTATTCACAATTTTAATACGTCACACAAACGCACAATAATGTAAATACATAGATTGGAGCACATTATTGTGTTGAGTCAAAACAGTCTACAATGTGAGATTTAAGATAATTAAATGTTCTTTTTATTGTATATAAGATATTCTTATTAATATGTATATGAAATTCTTTTTATTATATATAGAATATATTTGTTAACAATGGTGCACACAAAAGATGAATCCATTGAAAATCTACCTTTAAGACTAGGAAATGAAAATCCACAGGAATTTAAAAGACAGGATGTACAATATGAAGACTTGTCCAGTGATTTTGATAGTAAATCGATTGATTTCTCCAAGCAATTCTGTAGCATATATGCAGTGAGATTGGCAGAGTTGAGAGAGACATTGATACCACGAGTTGTTGCAAAATGGGGTGAGCTTATGTAGTTTTAACAAAATTCTATTTAAGTTAAGATTTTTTATACACAAATATTTTGTGATATTCAATATAATCGAGTAATTAAAAATTTTATCGTCTATCTTTTTTCAGGAGATGTTCAAATAGTAAAGTTGGCAGATTTGGAAGATTTTGAAGGACAAGAATGCGTGATAATTGGTACACTCTATAAACATCAAAAGTGCAAGCCATCGATATTACATGAATTAAGCGAAGATCATCAACTCGCATTGTCTGAGCCAAAATCGAACTACTGCTCAGAAAAGGATCAACTTTTCTTGGAAGATGAGATGTTGCGCATCAAATTAGTGATTGAAGATACAGATTTAAAGAATTATGTTACAGGTGTTGTATGTGCCATTTTAGGTCACAAGGACAAGAACGGCAGTTTTGAGGTATGTAAGTGGAAATTAAAATTACATATATATGTATATATACATATATATGATATTTTATTCAGATCAAGGAATGGTGTTTTCCTGGTTGTGTGCCTAGAAGTTTACCGGCACAGCCAAAGTCCAAAGGAAAGCTAGTATTCTTATCTGGACTTGACTTGGCAAATACTTCAACGAATTTATCGTTAAGTCTTTTAATCGAATGGATATGTGGGATGGCGGGAGAAGCAGCGGCGCAAGAAAATGCCACTGACATTGTTCGAGTTATTATTGCTGGTATATCGGATCTTTAATGTCTTTAATAATCGTATTCATTTTCGCTTTAGTATTACTGAATTCTACATAGGTAATTCGGTCAAAACTGTCACTAAGACAAATACTTTAATGGGACACGCTGAAGGGAAGGCACAAGACGCCGCTATAACAAAGGAAGTCGCTAGGGCAACGACGCTTGCAGATTCATTTCTTTACGAAATAGCAAAATGTTGTTGCATTATTGTAATGCCAGGTCAACACGATCCCACCAACGCAATGTTGCCACAGAGACCACTTCATCCATGCATACTACCACTAACGTCTAGGTATTATACAAATATATATGATTAGTCTATATATAAATATATATATATTTCAACTTCTCAATCAAGATAAGATTACAATTCTTTAGAGTTACTTGAAAATTTTTATTGTCTATTTTTGCATAGCAAAGAAATATATAATTTTAAAAGTTGCTTTTATTAATTTATTAATGAAAAGACTTTGGCAGCATTACAATAATTCGAAATCGATACATATACATGAATAATTAATTTTTTATAAATTTTTACAGATTTATAAGACTTTTCGTCCTAAATCCAAGTACAAATACAATAGAACATTTTGATAGAAATAATACGATATTTTTCAGATTTCAAAGCTTTAAAGGTGCGACTAATCCGTGGATCGGCAAAATTGCTAAACGTATAGTAATGGGCAGTAGTGGACAGCCTATTGAAGATATTATAAAAGCAACCGGTGAGACAGATATCTCTCCTTTAGATTGGTTGGAAAAAACGCTGCTTTGGAAGCACATGTGCCCGACTGCACCAGACACATTACCAGTATATCCTTACTCTGTAAAAGATCCATTTATCATAAATTATTGTCCGGATATATACTTTGTGGGTAATACAGATAAATTTGAAACGAAACTGTGGAAAGGTAAATTAAATATTATAGAAGAGATAAGTATTACATTAAAAAATTAATATTTCCTCATATTTGCAATATTAATTAAAATGCATTTAATACTTGTAGGTGAAGAAAATCAGATGGTTAGGCTAATTTGTATTCCAAAGTTTTCCTCTACACATATTGCAGTTATAGTAGACATAGAAACTTTGGACACTGAATTTATTTGTTTTGGAACTGAATGAATGCATACATTTGAATAAATTCACGATTTATACAAGACACAATTAGATTAAAATCTAACAATACACTTAACTTTTTTTACTGACAGATTATATCACTACCGTTAATCTATATCTTTGTATATTTATATTTTTGAAAATTATAAAAAAAATTTGAAAATAAAAACGATTTTATATTTTGATAATTTTACATTTAATAGTAGATATTCTTCGATTGCGCCTTATGCGTATATAATTATGTCAAAACGTGTATTTTCTCTATAATTTATCGATTATAATTTATCGATTACTATAAGCTAATGCAAGAGAATCGAAAGAGAAGTGAAATTTAAAAAGATGCAGAATTGGATTACCGTCAAAATTTATTTTGTGGTGTTAATCGTATTGTTACAATCAAGAAATGCTGAAGATAGATAAGTAATAAACGAATGCTTGCATGAGAATTTGCATGTTGTAAAAGAAAGAACAATTTCTGTTGTCACCCATTTTTATTTGCATCTCGTAAAAGTGATGTACAAAATTGAAACGCATGCAACTTTTAAGAATTCGTAGACATTTTACCTGGTTATAAAACTTTTAATACGAAAGAAAATACATGTAGTATCACAGACTATTAGAAAATTGCGAAATCACAGTGACACAAGACTTTATTTATATGAACGCTTAAATTAACAAGTGAATATATACTTCACAAATTATATACCAATGATAAGAACATAACAGTCAAAATACAGAGCATCAGAATTTAACTGATAACACATTTTTAATATTAATAATTTCTACATCAAATTTCACACGCTATGTCAAGAATATCTTTTATGATACATAAATTTACAATTTCTCTTTTACAATTTTATTTTTTATAACGTTATCCTTACCTGTGTGTATAATGTAATAGTAATATCTTAAGACACGACTCGGTCATATACGAAAATTAAAACAGGATTATCTTAATTCTAAAAAAAAAATCCATGCTTAAAGAAACTGATTTTGACTGTTACATAAATTACGTTTGCGAAATTAGATGCAAAAGTTACGTTACGGACAATGTACAAGGATTTAAATACAAGTTTTGATATAATAGGTAAAACTGTAACGTACATTAAGCATTTGTAATATTAACGTTTTTTGTAGAGTATGTCACGTAAACTGCGA